GGTCTGGCATGCTGGCAGAGGCCCAGGAGAAGCCATGGAGTTGGGAAGGTGGAAAGGAGCGAGGCTTGCTCCAGACTGCAGGTCTCAGACAGCCCCACCCCCACACACCGAGTGGGGCCATACTCTGGCAGAGTGGGGCCATTCCAGCCCCTTCCTGACAGCTTTGCTCAGAAGCAGAGAACAGAACTTTGATCCCTGCTAACAGCATTTGTGGTGCTTGAGGACAGGGTTATACAACCCAACTCTGCCCAGATTCACTTCCAGACCAGCCATCACTGAGGTTGAGAATAAAGACACACCTGGAAACCCCAGGGCCCCACTCACCACCCAAGGCACTAGAAGGCCTCTACAGAGGAACAAGAGCTGGTTACAGGACCCAAAAACAACACTGTAGCATGCTCCTCCCAGCAAGCTCCACCTACTGACAGGGAGGTCATTCTGTACACCCTTTTACAGCATCTACTGACTCATCATACAGAGTGTGGTTGAATCTCACCCACAAACACCACCTACTGGCTCAGAGACTAAACAGGGCGTGTCATTATCCAAACAAAAATCTAAAGGCTGTGAAACATAGTGGAAAGCCTCAAGAACAGGGTAGATCAAACACAAGAAAGAATCTTAGAGATTCAAGATAACATCTTCCAATTAAATAAGTCAATCACAAAGATAGAGCAGAGAAATAAGAGAAAAGAGCAAAGCCTACAAGAAATGTGGGTTTATGTGAAGAAACCTAATGTGATGGTTATAGGGATTCCAGAAGGAAAAGAAGAAAACACACAAGGGTTAGATAAGCTATTTGAAGATAACATGGAGGAAAATTTCCCAGGCCTTGATAAAAAATCTAGATATGCAAGTATAAGAAACTCAAAGTACCCCTGGGAGATACAATGCAAACAGGAAGACACCACAACATCTAGTCATCAGACTGAACAAAAATCAACTAAAGAGGCCCTTCTATGAGCTGTAAGATGAAAGAAGCAAGTAACATACAATCCCAAATAAAAAGCCAATCCAAATAAAGCCAGACTTCTCTATTGAAACCTTACAAGCAAGGGGAGACTGGAGTCTCATTCTCACTCTTCTGAAACAGAATAATGACCAGCCTAGAATCTTGTTCCCTGCAAAACTAAATTTTGTATATGAAGGAGAAATAAAGACATTCTTAGATAAGCAAAGACTGAGGGAATTCATCAAGACAAGACAAGCCCTCAAAGAAGTACTCAAAACAATGTTACCCATGGATCAGCACAACACATACTCTTGAATGTAAATCTACTCAAAAGCTAAAGATCAAAGGCCAGATACAACAATGTCTCAAGAGAAAAAGCAAAGCAACAAAGTTCAACCCATCAGAATGAACAGAAATCTGCCCCACCTATCAGTTCTCTCAATAAATGTGAATGGCTTGAACTCCCCACTCAAGAGACATAGGCTGGCAGAAAAGATAAAAAAATATAAGCTAAGTATCTGCTGTCTTCCGAAAACACATCTAACCTGCAAAGACACATTTAGACTAAAGGTAAATGGGTGGAGAATATTTGAAGCAAATGGAAGCCAAAAGAAGGCTGACATGGCAGTTTTGATTTCAGATAACTTAGTTTTTAAATCAACAAAAGTAATAAAAGACAAAGAGGGTCACTATACAATGGTGAAGGGCACAGTTAAACAAGAAGACATAACAATTATAAATATGTATGAACCCAACTTAGGTACACCCAGATTCATAAAGCAAACTCTACTAAACAAATGGATAAACAACACCATAATAGCGGGAGACCTTAACACCCTTCTTATAGCACAGGACAGATCCTCCAAACAGAAAATTAACAAAGAAATAACAGACTTAAACAAAGCTCTAGAACAAAAAGGTCTGACTGGCATTTACAGGACATTCTACCAAAAAACCACTGAATATACATTCTTCTCATCAGCTTATGGGACATTCTCTAAGATTGACCATATCCTAGGACACAAATGTCTCAAAAAATTTTAAACAATAGAAATTATACCATGTATATTTTCAGACCACAGTGGAATAAAAGTAGAAATCAACCCTAACAGGATTGCTCACACAAAGTTGTGGAGACTAAACAACCTTCTGCTCAATGGTCACTTCATAAATGAGACAATCAAGATGGAAATCAAAAGATTCTTTGAACTAAATGACAAAAGAGATACAAGTTATCAAAATCTGTGGGACACAGCTAAAGCAGTCCTGAAAGTTGATTTCCACAAATGCCTATATCCAAAAGTCGGAAAGATCACAAATAGAAAACCTAATGAATCAATTGAAAGAGCTGGAAAAAGTAGAACAGACCAACCCCAAACCGGGCAGAAGTGAAATCATTAAAATCAAATCAGAACTAAATGAAATTGACAACAGGGGAACTATATGGAAGATTAATAAAACAAAAAGTTGGTTCTTTGAAAAAATAACCAAAATTGGCACACTTTTGGCTAGACCAATGAAAAGCAGAAAAGAGAAATATCTAATAAGCTCCATCAGGAACAATAAAGGAGAAATTACAACTAATGCCACAGAGATACAAGATATAATATATGAATACTACAAAAACCTTTATGCATGCACACAAACTGGAAAATGTGGAGAAAATGGACAAATTCTTAGAACACACAACCTCCCTAGGCTCAACCTGGAAGAAATAGAATTCCTAAACAGACCAATATCAAGTACTGAAACTGAAACAACAATTAAAATCCTTCCTAAAAAGAAAAGTCCTGGACCAGATGGCTTCATACCCGAATTTTACCACACTCACAAGGAAGAACTGGTGCCTATCCTGCAGAAATTATTCCACAACATCGAGAAGGATGGAAACCTCTCCAACACATTTTATGAAGCCAACATCACCCTGATACCCAAATCAGGAAAGGATGCACCAAAAAAAGAAAACTACAGGCCAATTTCCCTTATGAATATAGATGCACTAATTCTCAATGAAATCCTAGCCAATAGAATCCAGGTGCTTGTCAAGAAAATAATCCATCACAACCAAGTGGACTTCATCCCATGGATGCAGGGATGGTTTAACATATGCAAATCTATAAATGTAATTTACCATATATACAGAAGCAAAAACAAAAACCATATGATCCTCTCAATAGATGTAGAAAAAGCATTTGACAAAATTCAACACCCTTTTATGATAAGAACGCTCAACAAAATAGGCATAGACGGGGTTTACCTAAAAATGATACAAGTCATATATGACAAACCCACAGCCAATATCACACTCAATGGGGAAAAATTGAAAGCATTCCCACTTAGAACTAGAACCAGGCAAGGTTGCCCACTATCTCCATTTCTATTCAACATAGTGCTGGAAGTCCTTGCTATAGCAATCTGACAAGATAGTGAAATTAAGGGTGTCCAAATGGGAGCAGAAGAGATCAAACTCTCACTCTTTGCTGAAAACATGACATTATACCAAGAAAGCCCCAAGGATTCAACCAAGAGACTCCTTAAACTGATAAATGAATTTGGTAGAATCAGGCATTCATATACACCAACAACAGTATATGTGAGAACCAAATCAAAGACTCAATTCCCTTCAAAATAGTAACAAAGAAAATAAAATACCTAGAGATATATTTAACTAAGGAGGAAAAAGACCTCTACAGGGAGAACTATGAAACACTGAAGAAGGAAATAGCAGAGGATGTAAACAGGTGGACGAATATACCATGCTCATGGGTTGGCAAAATCAACATTGTTAAAATGTCTATACTACCCAAAGTGACCTACAGAGTCAATGCAATCCCTATCAAAATGCCACCATCAGTTTTCACAGATATGGAAAAAATAATTTTATGCTTTGTATGGAACTAGAGAAGACCTCATATAGCAAAATCAATCCTAGCCAATAAAAACAAAATAGGAGGTATCAATTTACCAGACTTCAAACTATACTACAAGGCTATAGTAATTAAACAGCTTGGAACTGACACAAGATCAGGGACATTGACCAGTGGAACATAATAGAGAACCCAGATATCAAACCGGTGAAATTCATGTTGAAAGGAACCTGGGTCCCTGTATTACTACATGGAACAGAGCTACCGAATATTTAGCAATCCATTTTGGACCTTGAAATAGGAGATACGCTCTTCTCAGTTTAAGACACTGACGTTTTATATGTGTATCTTTAAAGGAATGATGAATAGAGTTACCAAAATTAATGAATATATCTTCCTTTCCATAAACTGAGATTTTCCATAAACTGATTTATTTTAGAAACATATACTTCAATTTTTGCAGATACAATAGTACATATAATCATTTGAAGATCTTTTGGCTACATTTGAAAGATCAATACAAATTGTTTTCTATTAAAAAAAAACCTGATGGTGTGAATAGAAATTGTAGTTTATAATATATTGTTGAGAAGGAAAAATAAACAATGTAACATTGTTTAGGCAGCTCTATATTTATATGTAAAGTAAAATAAATATACTTTCATAAGAAGAGGGAGAAATAAAGTCAACAAGGATTAATAATAACTATCTCTGGACTACATTTTATAGGCAATTTTTTCCTGCATATTTCAGTATTTCACACCCATGTAAAGTCAACATATATTTACTATTAAGATTAATTGAGCAATGTTAATGATACAAATTCTCCAGGGCTTTAGAAAAGTAATATACAAACAAAATACCACTTGGGACAGTGTTACATCTAATTGCTCACATTTTAGCTTCCGAGGGAGCTAGTTATTCGTTAGTTTCCAGGTCCCCAAGGTCTTGGGGGAGTATATTTGTGACACAGTTTGGTGCCAGGACTTAGTTTGTAGGTGTGACCCTCTCTCTGCTATCTCTGAGCTTTCATAATAGGTTGGGAAAAAAGTAACATATGGAACATTCAATTAAATATACTGTTGTTTCCTATTACTGTTTTCAGGTCTGTTTCTATTAATTGAATAGTAAGCAGGAACATTCTTCTAATTCATCAATCTTAGCAAAAAATTCTTCAGTAAATGAATCACTCAAGTGCTTCTGTGTTTAGGTGAGTTTGTTCGGTTCTTTTACTTCATTTTAGAAGGAAAGTATTGAGTTCTAGCAATTTTTGCAAGAGACAAACACATCTGTAGGTCTAAGTGCTCCCAAATCCACTTAGTTTGACTAAGAGAGGGCCAATGGCCACATATCATAATTTCTTCTTTCTTTCAAATACTATTGATCCTGGTTTTCTCATTGGGTACCTACCATGTATTCTGTAATGAAATCTACACTTTGGCAAAGAGAAAATAATATCTTAAGAGGGCCTTATCTTTAAATTTCCTATAATATCTAAGGAGGTGAGTGACAGTAAAACCCAAACCTGTAAATGATAACATGCAGTTTATGGTAATTGTGAGTTGTAAACATTAATTAATGTTTGCATACATAGAGAGGAGAAGAAACAATGAGTAATATTTGTAATAATAGATGGTAAAATAAAGCATTATAAGTGTGAGAATAAGATGGGAAAATAAACTTTATGTAAATCAACACGTGCTATGTAATAGTTTGATAAATCAACCATGACTAGATAATGAATATCTTAAGTAATGAACACTAGATCTGGGCACTTTTGGAAAATTCAAGCTAAACAAGGTAGATTTCAGGCATTCATTAATAAAAGCATTTGGAATAGCTGAAATAACTGGCTGTCAGATTAAAGTGGTTATGGAAAGTTATCCTTATAATGTTGCAAAGAATATCTTAAATTGATAGGAATCAATCACTAGGAAATATAGTCATAATCTAACTTTGTAGTGCTAAGATGCTATAAGTGGTTGTTGTATAGTAATTGTTGAGATAGTGGTCTTTTTGGAAGATATATCTCCTATAGACACAAGCCTGTGTGAACCAGAGAAAGTTATTGTGTGATGGAAATACATATAGGAGAATGAGAAAATATCAATATATGTCTTTGAATAAATCTCCAAATGAAATCCTACTTATTTCTATTGTGTGGGTTCAGAAAATGAATTTCTACATTGAATTCTCAAATATGCATATAGTTTGATACCTGTCCTGCTTATGCCTGATTTTGACAACCATATGAATTTTCTGAAATCACACAAATTACTCATAGTTCTAATAAATATAAAACTAACAATTATTCTTCATGTCATGTCTTGTAATCAGTATGTCATTAGCAAAGTCTCTATTCCCATTCTAGTGATGATGTCTTTTATTTTATTAATATGTTATCTCACTTTACTGTTGAGAAAATGGATAGTGGCATTAAGGAATATTCAAAGAATATTATGGAATCCTGTTGAGATGAGTCTCTGTCCTGACATTTATCCTTGGCAAAGCTTTAAATTTGAATTAAAATGGGAGAATGGGTTTTTGCTGCCATCTAAAATTTATTTGTATTATGCAGTACTTTCATAGTTGCTACTGCTTGCCACTTACCCATCTTCTGGAATATTTGCCACATCAGAAAATAAAGAGTTTTTTATTTAATATTGGTTCAAATATTTTATCACTGCAGATATAGCAATATTTTATTATAATCACCTTTTAATAAATAATATCATATTCCCTTAAGAATAACATTCAATAATGTTTAAAATTACTTTGAAGTGAGTGAAAAAGTTCATCATATTCTAACTGTACAGCAAACCTCTAGAATGTGCTGAGAGTATGATGGAGAAAGAAGAGCATTTTAAGAAAAATAAAACAACAAATAAATGTTAAATTTACCCTTTTACAGGTATATTAGTATTTTATAATTTGTTATGAGTTTTAAGTTAGTTGTCTCATAGCTTGAGGTAAGGCAGGAATGAAACTGTAGGAACATATGACATATACTTCCTCCAACAGAAATATTTTCACAATACTCAGGTTTATGCAGAGAGTTAAAGTGGTCCTTCTCATGAAGCCAGCTGTCTATGGTGATAGTGAGTCTTATTATTTGAAATATATCAGGGAATACTCTGTTTTATTTTTTGTTCTTCCTGCCTTAATGTTGTTTTTATTATTCTTTTCATAAACAATCTTATTCACTGTGTAATTGTTATAGATAAAACAATAACTTTTTAATTTTTAAAAAATTTCAATAGATTTAGGAGTACAAGTGGTTTTTGCTTATAAGGATGGTACAGTGGTGAAGTTTGAGCTTTTAGTGTAACATCACCTAAGTAGTGTACATTGTATCCAATAGGTAATTTTTCTTCCCTGCTCCTACCCTCCCTGATTCTGAATCGTTTATATCTTCTATATGAGCATGAAATTCATTAGTATCATTCCCATTTACAAGTAATTACATGAAGTATTTGCTTTTCTGTTCCCGAGTTACTTCATTTAGGGTAATGAACTCCAGTTCCATTCAAGTTCCATTATTTCATTCTCTTTATTTTTATAGCTGAATAGTATTCCATGGTGTACATATACCACATTTTTTATCTACTCATCATTCAGTAGGCATGTAGGTTGATTTCATATGCTTGACATTGTCAATTGTTCTGTGATAAACGTATGTCTGCAGGTGTCTTTTTGACAAAATGACTTATTTTCTTTTGGGTAGATACCCAGTCATGAGTTTGCTGGATCAAATGGTAGGTCTACTTTTATTTCTTTGAGGACTTTCCATGTTATTATTCATAGAAGTTGTACTATTTTACATTCCCACGAACAGTATGTAAGTGTTTCCTTTTCACTGACTCTGTACCAACATCTTGGTCTTGATTTTGTAATAGTAGTCATTCTGACTGTGGTAAAGTGGTATCTGATTGTGGTTTTAATTTGCATTTTTCTGATGATTAGTGTTTTTTAACATTTTTATATGTTTGTTGGCCATTTTTATATCTTCTTTTCAAAATGTCTGTTCGTGTTGTTTGCCCACTTTTTAATGGGATTACATGTTTTTTCTTGCTGATTTGTTTGAATTCCTTGTAGATTCTAGCTATGGTTGTTTGTCAGATGTATAGTTTGTGAATATTTTTTTCCTCATTATGTAATTTGTTTGTGTATTCTATTGATTAATCGTTATATTGTGAAGAATCATTTTAGTTTAATTATGTCCCATTTATTTATTTTAATTTTTGCCTCATTTGCTTTGAGGTATTAGTCATAAATACTTCGCCTAGGCCAATGTCCAGAAGAGTTTTTACAAAGCTTTTTTCTAGAATTTTTATCATTCCATGTCTTACATTTAAGAGTTTAATCCACCTCTAGTTAATTTTTATATGTGATGAGAAATAGAGATCCAGGTTCACTCTTCTGCATGTGGCTGTCTGATTTTCTGAGCACCATTAATGAATAGGGTGGCCTTTCCCCAGGGTATGTTTTTGTTTGTTTTGTCAAAGATAAGTTGGTTGTAGTATTTGTTTTTATTTCTGGAATCTGTATTCTGTTCCACTGATCTATATACCAGTCCAATGCTGTTCAGTTACTATAGCCTTGTAGTATAAATTGAAGTCAGGTAACATGATACCTTCAGGTTTGCTCTTTTTCTTAGGAGTGCTTTGGCTATTTAGGCTATTTATTTGGTTCTACATGAACTTTAGGTTTGTTTTTCTCCAATTCTGTGAAAAATGTCATTGTTATTTTAATAGAAATTGCACTGAATCTGTAGATTGCTTTGGGAAGTATAGAAATTCTCACATATTGATTTTTCTAAACCATGAGCATGGGATATTTTTCCATTTGTTTGTGTCACCTATGATTTCTCTCATCAGTGTTTTGTAGTTCTCCTTGGAGATATCTTTCACTTATTTCATCATATTCCTAAGTATTTTAATTTTTTTACTTATATTGTAGATGGGATTTGCTTTTCAATTTGATTCTCACTTTAGTCATTATTAGTGTATAGCATTGCTACTGATTTGTGAATATTGATTTCGCAATGTGAGATCTTACTGAATTCATTTATCAAATCTAAGATTCTTTCGGAAGAATCATTAGGGTTTTCTAAGTATAAGATTATATAATCAACAAACATAGTTTGACTTCTCTTTTTCAGTTTGGATCTCCTTTATTTCTTTCCCTTGCTTGATTACTCTGGCTAGGAATTCCAGTATTATGTTGAATAGAAGTGGCATAAGCAGACATCCACATCTTGTTTCATTCTTAGGGGGAGTGCTTTCAACTTTTCCCTTGTCAGTGTGATGTTGGCTGTGGGTTTCTTTTATATGGCTTTTATTAATTTGAGGTATCTTCCTTCTGTGCCTAATTTGTTGAGTGTTTTCATCATGAAGGCATGCTGGATTGTATCAAATGAATTTTCTGAATCTATTAGAATGATAATATGATTTTTATTTTCAATTCTGTTTATGTGGTGAATCACATTTCTTGATTTTCATATGTTGAAACTTCCTGTATCCCTGGGATCAAACCCATTTGGTCATGATGAATTATCTTTTTCTTGTGCTATAGATTCACTTGGCTGGAGTTTTGTTCAGGATTTTTGCATCTATGGTGCCTCATTTCAGTAATCCCAGTGGTTTGGGAGGCCCAGACAGGTGGTTGCTTGAAGACAGAAGTTCAAGACTAATCGTCACAATATATCAAGACCCCCATCTCTCCAAAAAAATTTAAATATTAGGAGTATGCGTATGTAGTCCTAGTTACTTGTGAAGCTGGGGTGGAAGAATGGCTTGATCCAGGCCTTTGAGTTGATAGTGATCAATGATTGTGCCACTGCGCTCCAGCTGCGGTGACAGAGGGAGACCCTATCTCAAAATAAACAAGCAAATTAACAAAACAGAGAGCACTAACTTTTGAAAAAATGCAACAGTTGAGACCTCTTGTTTTCAATCACACTTTTAATTGAGATCCACTAAGTTTCTCAGTATATCTTCCTTTATCTTTCCTATTTCAAATATGGGTTCACACTTCTCTGGATCATTTCTATTTTTTCTATAGGATCCAAAATAATCACACTGCTGGAATTGCCTTTATCCTCTCGGGCTTCTCAGAATATGCTGACCTCCAGGTGCCTCTGTTCCTGGTGTTCCTGACCGTCTACACAATCACTGTACTGGGGAACCTAGGCATGATCCTGATCATCAGGATCAACGCCAAACTCCACACGCCCATGTACTTTTTCCTCAGCCATTTGTCCTTTGTGGATTTCTGCTATTCCACCACGGTGACACCCAAACTGCTGGAGAACTTGGTTGTGGAGGACAGGACCATCTCCTTCACAGGATGCATCATGCAGTTCTTCTTTGCCTGCATCTTCGTGGTGGCAGAAACGTTCATGTTGGCAGTGATGGCCTATGACCGATTCGTGGCAGTTTGTAACCCTCTGCTCTACACAGTTGCAATGTCCCAGAAGCTTTGTTCCTTGTTGGTTGCTGCATCATACTCTTGGAGTATAATGTGTTCTTTAACATATACATATTTTTTGCTGACCTTATCATTTTGCGGAACTAAATTCATAAATAACTTTGTCTGTGAGCATGCTGCCATTGTTGCTGTGTCCTGTTCTGACCCCTACATTAGTCAGAAGATCATTTTAGTTTCTGCCACATTCAATGAAATAAGCAGCCTGATGATTGTTCTAACTTCTTATATTTTTATTTTTATCACTATCATGAAGATGCCTTCACCCGGGGGGCGCCATAAAGCCTTCTCCACCTGTGCCTCCCATATGACCGCCATTACCATTTTCCATGGAACCATCCTGTTTCTCTACTGCATTCCTAACTCCAAAACTTCATGGCTCATGGTCAAGGTGGGCTCTGTCTTTTACACTGTGGTCATCCCCATGCTTAACCCCCTTATCTATAGCCTCAGGAACAAAGAAGTAAAAGACACAGTCAGGAAGTTAATCAATATGAAATTATTATGTCATAAAATATAATGATAGAAGTATTACTTATTTTTCTTTGAGATGAATGATGTAGTAGTTCAATATCAAATGAATACATGAATAACCCTCTAGTTGACAGTTCAGTTTAATAAAATAACTTTAAAATTATAAATCCTATTGAGGATGTACTCTAAGACTACTTAAGCCAAATAATTGATTCACATGCTATAATACAAATATTTCTGAAAGCGTGGATTCTTTTGAAGGCCCGGGGGAGCTTACAGACTGAAAATGAAAATTTGAAAATTCAGATTATCAAAACTCTAGCAAAATTTACTCTCATAGAACTAGAGGTATTTTATAAAATCACATATTTTATAAAATCATATGTTTTATAAACTCTTCATTTTAAAGTATATGGTTCAGTGGTTTCTAGTATGTTTATAATATTGTGCTATCATTATCAATATTAGGTCCAGAATATTTTCACCATTCTGAAAAGAAAACTTGTAGCTGTGAATGGGCACTCCCCATTTTCTGCAAATCCTCCATCCCCTGGCAACCACTAATCTACTTTCTGTGTCATGAATTTGCCTAATTTGGTCATTTCACATAAATGGAATTATAGATAATGAGGTCTTTTGTGTCTGGGTCCTGTGTATGAGTACTTCATTATTTTTTAATGATAAATAATATTCCATTGCATGGACATACCATGTGTTAGTTATGGATATTCAGGTTGTTTCTATCTTTTGGCTACTAGTAATAATTCTGCTATGAAAATTAATGTTTAAGTTTTTGTGTGGATGTATGTTTTGATTTTAATTCACTATATATCTAGGAGTGGAAACAGGGTCATATGCAAAACTCCGGAAAACTCTGCAAAACTATATGTTCAACTTTTTGAGGAATTGCCAGACGGTTTTCCAGAGCAGCTGCACCATTTCACAGTTTCATCATCTGCAGTGAATGAATGTTCTAGTTTCTCCCCATCCTCAGCAACACTGGTCACTTTCCATATTTTAAATATATATAGCTGCATACATAACTTTATTTTTTATTTTTATTATCTCTGCATATTATGGGGGTACAAATGTTTAGGTTACATATGTTACCCTTCCCCCCACCCAGTCAGGCTTCAGGCGTGTCTGTCCCCCAGATGGTGTGCATCACATTCGTCGCATACATAACTTTTGACGCAGCAGTTCCATTTCTAGAAATGTGTCCTATGATGACACACAGTACCGTGCAAAATGACATGTTTATAAGATTATGCACGCCAGCACTGTTCTTAATAACAAAATATTGGAAATACCCTATAACCCCATTGGCAAATGGAGATAAAAACATTATGGCACATCCACACAATTGAGACCTCTGCAGCTATTAACAAAAGTAAGGAAACCTCCCCTGTAGTGACATGGGAAGATCATCAAAATATATTAAATAATAAAAGCAAAATTGTCAAACACGAAGTATATGTTATTTGTTTAAAGTATGCTGGGAATTTCCGCGTTGTCCAATTTGAGCCTCATGCTGTGAGGAAGCTGGTAATCGTGGGAGGCATCAGGTCACACACTAGTTGGAGGTGCCATCAGGGGTTAAATGTGACCCCAGAGCCCCCATCTTGCACCTCAAAAACACTCTCATTTGTAGAAAGTAATGGGGAAAAAGAAAAACCAATCAGCAGTTGATTTTTGTATACTTATATTGAATTCACAAACATTACAAAATTTGTAATTCTCTTATCTACTTTTTCTCTTATCTATTTGCCCTGTAGATTATGTATTTTTATGTATGAAATATCATGACAAATGACTGTTTTATTCTATCTATCATCTATATATTTATTCTTTGCTTGTATGCATGCATGCATTACCCAGCTGTAGTGGGGTCAAAAGTTATAGCACAATGATTGACAAAATGAGGCTGTAAATATGTTTTATGATTTCAAAAAGGCATATGTTTCATTATGAAACACATTGTTTCTATTGTTTTTTTTTTTTTTTTTTTTTTGAGACAGAGTCTCCCTTTGTTGTTCAGGCTAGAGTGAGTGCCGTGGAGTCAGCCTAGCTCACAGCAACCTCAAACTCCTGGGCTTAAGCAGTCCTACTGCCTCAGCCTCCCGAGTAGCTGGGACTACAGGCACGTGCCACCATGCCCGGCTAATTTTTATACATATATATTAGTTGGCCAATTAATTTCTTTCTATTTTTTATAGTAGAGACGGGGGTCTCGCTCAGGCTGGTTTTGAACTCCTGACCTTGAGCAATCCGCCCACCTCGGCCTCCCAGAGCGCTAGGATTACAAGCGTGAGCCACCACGCCTGGCCTCTATTGTTATTTAAATCTCCTTTATCAAATTCAAAACCTTCTAATTTTATTTGCTAAGGAAATTTTTGCATGTGTTAATATTGAAATATAAAAGAGATAGTTCCTGCAAATATTTGTACAATGATATGTCTTTACTCTTTTAATCTACTAGTATGTGGGGGATTTTGAAAAGTTACATCAGTTGATTGCTAATTATTCCTGTCATGAAACATTTATATAAAAGTTTAACACAAAGACATTGCTCATAACTTTGCTAGGCCTGAATTTGACCAGATTTATCACTCCAACTTATTTTGATATTTTTCCCTTATCTTCCACTGGAATTCTTCCTTTACAATGCAGTCAACTTTTGTATCTTAGACAAATAAAATACTTTCTCCTTCTCGAAAGATGCTTTTGTTCTATCTTCAGCAATTAGACTGTGTCTATATTCTTTTTCTATTAATGTCTATCCTGGCATCTAGGATCTTAATACTTCTTCGGAAAACATATTTTCCTATGGCTTAAAAAGTCATTTATTATTTTTAACTATATTGACTGGTAGTAAAATGACAAATTATATAACTAACTCCATTTTCTCATTAATTACATGACTGAGAGTATTTGGCAACTTTCTTTTAAATAAATCTTTAACTGAATTTTCAGAAGTTTATTGAAATACTTCTATATTTTAATCAAAGAAGATGCTATCCATACTTAAGATCCTAATCTTTTTAATTTGTAAGTATAATGCAATTCCCCACCCCTCTGTTGAAATAGCCACAGTATGAGTTTCTGAATCTAAAAACATATTCAGAACTTATGAAAATGATGACTAAATTTGTTAGAAGTCCACCTATTGGAGAGTGATAATAAGTTAGTATTATATGCACAGATCATTCCTTAACCAAAACCTGCATGCAATTCTCAACAAATTTGGAGCACTGGAATTTAGAATTGCAGCATGATACTATACATAATTAATAATTTTAAGAATATAACTTGTTACCCAAATGCTCTTCTGCCCACATGGGCTTCAGATGACTTCATTTATTTATTGTTAATGTTTAACTTGCATGAATACATAATAGTTGTATATATTTTTGGTATACATGTGAAATTTTGATACAAGCATACCATGTATAATGATCAAATCAGGATAATTGGGGTATCTATCACCTCAAGCATTTATTGTTTCTTTGTGTTAGGAACATTTCAATTCCACTTTTCTAATTATTTTGAAATATACACTAAGTTATTAATTATAACTATCATGCTACTGGACACTAGATCTCATTCTTTCTATCTAATTGCATTTTTGGACCTGCTAACCAACACCTCATTATCCACCTTCTGTGACTACTATTTTGAGCCTCTGGTAACCATTATTTTACTCTCTATCTCCATGGATAACTTATTTTAACTCCCACAGATAAGAGAGAAGATTTAATAGTTGTCTTTCTGGGTTTGGCGTACTTCATTTAATATAATGTCCTCCAGTTTCATCCATGTTGTTGCCAATGACAGGGTTTCATCTTTTTTATGGCTGAACAATATTTCATTATGTATATATACCACATTTTCTTTATCTACTCATCTACTGATAAACACTTGGGTTGACTCCATATCTTGGCTACTGTAAATAGTGCTGTAATAAAATGGGAGTGCAGGTAACTCTTCAATATACTGATTTCCTCTCTCTTGGTTATATACCTAGTAGTGGGATTGTTGGATCATATGTTACTTCTATATTTACTTTGTCTTTATTTTATTATTATTATTTTAGTTTTGGCTTACCATACAGAGATATTTGTAAAATAAAAGAGAAAATATAAAATAATAAAAATAGCTCCTATTTCTGAGCAATCTGCTTTAAAGTGGTCTTTTGCTTAGATTTTAAAAGTAATTTTACTGATTAAATCCCTGACTGGACTTCAAGGGAAACAATAGGTCAAATGTATGGACAGGAGTCAGCCATAGAAGCTTTTAAGCAGACATTTAATTTTTGCTAGCCATTCCCTATTAAAAATAACTTGTAAATAAAAATCTTAATTAGCAGCCAAAATTTATCCCACCAATTTGTCTAAATCTTCTCATACTAGCTGCACCAGAATTTCCAATCCCTTTGAATAATTGTTGTATTTTTTTGCTTTCAAATGTCTATACACATGTGCAAGTCTCAAGAATTTATGTTCAGTGACCAATGTGGTAGTATGTTATAAGACCAATATTTGACACTGCTTTCTTCCTTCCCTGATTTGTATCCTATGGGAGTAGATGCAGAAATCACAGTAGATGGATTTTATAGAAGTAATTTTTTTAAAGACATGAACATCAACATATTAATGATTTAGAATAAATTATATTCTAAGTTGTAGAAAAGGATGCTTTCTCTAATTATTTTGTTTGTAGCTCATGACAACAAACTATTAGGATTCTCCAGGGTCCGTGTCCCCAAAGTCAAGCTGTTAAATGTAAAACAAACCACATGATCATGGAATATGGTTCAAGGTCTGTGTCTTCCTGACCAGCATCTCTCTGCTGCCTTAAAAATCTTTACAGTTGGAAAAATGTCATTTTTGGTATGTTATTGAATTATATTCTACAAGAATCATCAAATGATTAAAGACCTGGGAAATTTTAGACACAACTTCTATGTTAAGAAAGGATTTTTCTGAAGTTCTTAATACTAGCAGGGACACCTTCAATAAAAAGTACATCAGGGAAATCTTGCTTCTGGTGAGTTGATTCAACCTAGGGTCATCTTTTCATTCTCATATGAAGGATACTGACATCCAGTAAATTGTTGACAGGCAGTGATATCTGCCTACTTCATGGTTTATATTAAACAGGCTAAATTCAATTTCTATTATTTCCAGGACCATTGTCCTAAATTCAAAAATATGTTTCCATTGTTATGTTAGGTACTTCAGAGGTTATAGAAAATATGTTGACTATAGGTCTGGTCCTAAAGAGGTGATATTTTTCAGAGCAAAAAGCTAAAAGAAACACATAAAGACTAGTAGAATATTATAGGCATTATATAAATACTGTTATGATATCGGTGGAGAGAAAACAGAATAAGAAACAAAAGACATTTGGATTAATAGCAAAGCTTTCTTGGAAAAGTTATATGGAAACTTGTGAAGTAATGACACAATACAAAACATGAAGGGGAAAAGGTGGCATTTTAGAGGAATAAACAATAGATTAGACGATATAAATGCCTTTTTTTTTATAAAATAAAGATTCAAAATACTAGTATGAATAAAACAATATTGTACTGACAAAATGATTTGATTACACAGTTCCTGGAGATATTATAGAAACCTTGGCCAAAGAGATTCAATTTTATACATTTTATAATAAACTGCCTTCAAAAACACAGTATTGTATTCCAAACTAAGAGAGCGCTGACAAAATTTGTTTTACAGATTAAACTTTAGTGTGATAAGATACTTGGGAATGTGGTATCTAGTTGAATAGTTGATGGGATTCCAAGATATAGCACTCTTTTAAAAATAGCTTTCCAAATTTATACCACAAAGACATTTTCAAAATTTAGAACTGGTGCATTATTCTGGAAAGTTAAAATATTAGAAAATTATGATGTAAGGGAGCTGATATTGATAGAGGCTTTACAAGTATAGATTTGTTGAAAATATTTTAAAGTCATACCCCATTCAACACTTTTGCACAAAACATTAAAGGACCTAGCATAGTGTTATTATCCACATTTCATAGATGATAAAACTGAGAGTCATATAATTTAAAAATTTGCTAAAGTTTTAAGTTGAAGAGGCTGAATCTGGACTAGTGGAATCTGCTCTCTAAACCCATATTCCCTATAAAATAGCATGACGTGATGCTTATGATGCTACCATTTCTCCAGACATTCAAATTAGCTTCCCTCAATGAGGAATTAATAAAAAAAACCCAAAAATCTATTGAGGTTAGAGTTTCTAACAGGATAGTGTAATGAGACATTGTTTTTTGTTTCTTTGCTGAGAATAAGGTTTTGTTCATTCAACCCTTGTAACCTTCCCAAGACCAAGTTTAATTAATTCAAAACAATACCATAACTACTTGGATAAAATTATCACCATGCATAGTTTTAATGATCATTGTCGTCCTTAAGCATTTTTCAGTATCTATTTTATTGGTGAACTGATAAATATACCATACGATATGCACTGCAAACAGATCGCATGACCAGAAGAAGATAATCCATGTGAAACTTTTATGAATGTCTCCAAAATACTTCCTCCGTAGACAGTTTTATATCATTGAGTATTTTGAGTCTTATAAATGACTATGCGGTGGGCAGATAATTGAGAGAACATAGTTATCAGTAAAATTATTGATCATATTACTTAGGGATACACTTAAACAAATATTTGTGTGTTCTTCATAATGGGATAAATTCAGCATACCGGTAGGTAAAAATTCAATATATCAATACAGCGCTCTGACTGACAAGATGCAATTTTCCCCTACAAAAATTTACTATCATGTTTTTATGTATGTATTAAAAGTGTTTAGTTTTCTCAAGGATTGCTTTATCATATAGCTACTGTGACCTGTTCAATGCTTTTCTGATTTTACTATATGCCTCCATTGTTGTCATATAATTATATTTTATAATGAGCATTGAATGCTGTATCAAAACATTTCTGAAAATGTTTATAAAACAATAATGTTATGTACTGTCTATTTCTTGTTTTCCAGAAGAGAAAACTAAAGTGCTGAAAGATAAAGCAAATTTCCCACAATCACAAAGACAGTAAGTTATAAAGAAAGACTCCAGAGTGGAGCAGAACGCTATGAATATAAAATGACCACATTTGTCTTCAATAGTTTACATCGAGCCTCTCCTGAGTTCCTCCTGCATTTCTCTTTTCTTTAGTTTTCTCTCTGTCTCCCTCTCTTTTAATATAGAGCCATGGTACTAGATGAGGGAAACCAGAGCTCTGTGACCACGTTCATCCTGTTGGGCTTCTCAGAATATCCACAGCTCCAGGCACCCCTCTTCCTGGTGTTCTTGGCCATCTACACAGTCACTCTGGTGGGGAACTGGGGCATAATTGTGGTCATAAGAATTAATCCCAAACTCCAAACTCCCATGTACTTTTTCCTCGGACATCTATCCTTTCTGGATTTTTGTTATTCCAATGTATTTACGCCCAAACTGTTAGAGAACTTGGTAGTGGAAGACAGAACTATATCCTTCAAAGGATGCATGGCACAATTTTTCTTTGGCTGCACATTTGTGATCACAGAGATGTTCATGTTAGCAGTGATGGCCTATGACCGATTTGTGGCTGTGTGTAACCCACTGCTCTACACAGTGGCCATGTCTCGCAAACTCTGTGCTCTCCTGGTAGCTGGGACTTACTTATGGGGTGGACTCTGTTCCTTGACACTCACATATTCTCTTTTAGAACTTTCCTACTGTGGACCTAACATCATAAATCACTTTGGCTGTGAGTACTCTGCCATCCTCTCTCTGGCCTGCTCTGACCCCACCTTCAGCCAGATGGCCTGTCTAGTCATTTCTACATTCAACGAGGCTTCCAGCCTCCTGGTCATCCTGGCCTCCTATGTCTTCATAGTTGTCACTATCATCAAGATGCCTTCTACAGGTGGACTGCAGAAGGCCTTCTCCACCTGTGCCTCCCACTTGACTGCCATCACCATTTTCCATGGGATCATCCTCCTCCTCTATTGTGTACCCAACTCCAACAGCTCGTGGCTCCTGGTCAAGGTTGCCACTGTGTGTTTTACAGTTGTGATCCCCATGCTGAATCCCCTTATCTACAGCCTTAGGAACAAGGATGTGAAGGAGACAGTCAAGAGTTTTATCAACTCCAAACTGCATTCTCATTCAAGATAATTCAAAAGTATATATGCATTACTCTTCTAATTATGTCCAACTTTTTTTCATATACATGGCAGAATATTGTTTAGTTTTATTTAAATGAATATGTATTTATGCTTTGAAACAATTAAATATTGCATATGCTATGGTTCATTATTCATTATCTCTGGTTAAATATAGATACAGTGTATTCTGTTTCACTTTATCTCAGGTGGTTTAAGAAAGAATTATATTTCATTATTTTCCCAGAAGACACTATAGTAGTCAGGATTAAGAATAAATCTATTCTTTCTCTGTAGTAGTTAATGTATTAAAGGACTTACTACTTATGTTATGGTTTAACCTAAACTGTTTAATAAAAATGTTCTAAAACACATCATATCTGCCTTTACTGGATCCAAAACTAGGTCCATCTAACCAACTCTTTTGAATCAGGAAATTACATAAAACATAATGTTTTGGTCTCCTTTGAAATAGCAATGTTATTAAGTACAACCTGAAGTAAAGCAATTCATAAAAGTTTACTCCAGAGAAGAATTATAACTGTTGTTACAACAGTTGAACTAGCCTCACCAATATATATATATAAAGATTTTATGATGTATTTTGGAAATAAATAAATAGTAATGATTTTTATTGAGTGAGAAAGCAGTTTGCAGTTGGATTACACCCAAGCTATGAGAAAACTTCATTGTGGGTACATAACCATCTTCTTAAGGAAGATGTCATGAAATTTTCTTCTTGTGCATATTTGTGGTAACATAAACATTTATGTATGCAATGCTGGCCTGTGACTATTTTTGGTAATTTGTAATGGTCTCCTCTATACAACTGCTATGTCCTAGATGTTGTGTTTCTTGTTGGTTCATCATAATTTTGGGATATATTCTGTTTACTCTACAGTCATCTACTTTTAATTTTTTGACCTTATCCATTTTGCAGGATGAACTTGATACATGATTATTTTTTTCTGCACACATACTGCCATTGATCTGTATGCATTTTTCTCACACACCTCCCTTCTAAATGCCATTACTGTCTTCCATAGAACCATCAGCTTACTCACTGTGTTCCTAGCCCTCAATTTCATGGTTCATGATCAATGTGGCTTCTATCTTTTACACAGCGGTCAACTCCAGGCTGAACCCCCTGATCTACAGCCAGTAAAAACATACCAAAAGTATATTTCAAGTCCATGGTTGTATGAGGACTGTTACCATTGTATTATTTAATGTAAATCACATGGCTAAGCACAAATCCAAGAAGCAAGAAAGTCATCTTCCTTTTGTGAAGTTACAGTTAAAAGCCAATTTTCATGAGCACAGGGAGAGAGAGATGAAGTGTTAAGATTGGTTAAAAAGTTTATCTCTTGTAACACATTCTTCCTTTATAATACCAGATAAGTGTAACATGACTGACTGTTTTGACTGATGATTTCTAATAATTATTTCATTATTTTGTTGACTTAAATAAATGACTTGCTGAGGTTAATAATAAGAACTTTCCTTTGCTACTTGCCTCTTGCCTATCATCATACTTACAAAATAAGTAGAAAATAGGGAGATATCCATTCCTTGTGTATCTAATCAAACCCATTAAAAGTTTCTTGTTCTCCATGATTTGTAATTTCATTTACAAATAAAATTTTACTTTTCTTCAAAATAGAGATTCCAACAAAATTACATATCCTGTGTATACAACTGTTTTGGGATATGTCACAAAATTCTCAACACTTATGATATATAACAAAACTGACAAATGTTTTCCTTTTATTCTTTACTGTCTTTCATTTAAGCTTCATTTTTCTACAGTTGTAGATGTCTTATCAATGCTTCCTTGTTTGGATACTTCTTCATCTTTTTTGGTTTTGTTTTATCTTGTCTTTCCCATGCTTTTTCTGATATTATTTACAAATAACAAATAAATTAAATGTTCACAACTTCTTATGTTTAGTCTAATCTTGCAAAAATCAAGCCAATATATGGTGTAAGGCCAAAAGGAGTCTTTGTAGTTGGTCCAGGCTGCATTAAACACTGATGTGATTTGAGGACATTACCAGTAGGCTGATTCCAATGATAATCAAAAGGATACTGGAACGCAAAAGGGGAGATGAAGAACTTGATCATTACCTATTTTGTGTGTTAGTTTTTGTGAGTATAGCCCAGGAAATGACACTTCCAGCACCATAAAACCTGGTTCCACCTAGGACATTTTTCTTTCCCACAAGATTCATCACATTGATCCAATGGCTGTATTTCCTTCAATTTTGCTGTTGCATAGTACTTTTTGGTGAATTTTGTTGTTTTGTGTTATGCATCCATAACTTAATAATATAGAAATTGGTACCTGGAAGTGAGATGCTGTCACACACCAAAAAACAGAAAATGTGTCACGTTCTTTCCAGGACTAGTGGGCAGATGGCAAGGAAACTGGAAGAAAAGGTGGTTAGGAAACATAAGTCAATGTTATGTGATAACTTTATGAATAGAAGTTCTGCATCTTTATGCACTCAAATGTATTAATATCTCTCTATGGCTAATTTATATGTATGTCTTGTTTTAGAATTCTATGTCTAAACTATAATTTATACAGAGGCATAGTAGCACCTTAAACCCTGTGTGTGTGTGTGTATGTGTGGGTGTGCATGCATGAGTGTGTTTGTCTTCGTTAATCTAAATCTGTAATCCAATTGCCATCAATTGGATTTGCTGTGTGGTGTGACATGGATATGCAGCTACCCTTCCGTTCATTGAGAAGCATATTCTTTCTCCACAGGTCTGCAGTGCAATACCTGTCATATATGAAACACTCCTATATTACTCGATCAGTTTCTTAGTTATCCAAATATCAAATGGCTGGAGTTATATGTTTAACTTTTTCAGAAACCACCAGACTGTTTTTCAGAGATTGCGTTTTTCACAGTAACTAATGATTTGGAGCATCTTTTCATGTATTTATTTGTCCTTTTTAATTTAACAGCTCTCTAGCCTGGTCTTATGAATCTCAATACATATTCTGAAAGAATAAATTATTTCCTGAATCTTAACAAGTCTGTGTTTTTTATGTTACTTTTTTGTCTCCCACTACAGCTATTGTGGTAATAAAACTGACAAATTCTGTCCACAAATCCATTTCCTCATTAATTACTTGATTCAGCTAATTGGCATCTAACTTTCAAGTACAATTGCAAATATTTGAATTTAGAGTACTTTATTGTAATAATTTCATACTTTCAGAAAGTATGAAGAGAGCATAGCACCCATACTTAATACCACTATTTCCATTAATTAGTATTTTAAAATAAAATCTCACAATTCCATGTTAGGCAATTACAAATATTCTTTTTTATTTTTAAATTTCATAGTATTATGGGGGTACAAAGATGTTGGTTACATATATTGCCCTTGCACCCCCCAAGCCAGAGCTACAATAGTGTGCCCATCCCCCAGGCAGTGTGTTCTGCACACATGGTACTTATGAATCTAAAGGTATTTTTGCAGCTTATGAGCGAACAACTCAAACCTATGAGAAAAATAAGGGATATCCATACAGTTCTTCCTTTTCAAAAACTATATGCAATTAAAAAAAATAATTGGAGAATAAGGATTTAGAGCTGCAACACACTAATATTTTGAATTAATTGTTTAAAAAGCCTAACATGGTATAAAGCTTTAGGTGCCATTATGCTTAAGTTTGGGTTTATATGCCATCCTGAAAATCTTGTCAAACAAGGAAATATTTCCAAGTGCCAACTCTGTTTTAAAACAATCCTTTGTTTATATTTTAAAAGTCCATTTCCAGTGCCTTAATCCTGTCTTGATCTGTATTAAAATTTCAGGTCAGCAGTGTTGGTATATGTCATCCATGGTAACTCACATGGCCTGCTTACTTAAATCAGCTGACATTTCAGTATTAATAATATAGTATATTTGCTAGCCATCCTCTAGTAAAATAGCTCAAATAAGTAAATATAACAAAAATAACAAATACTAATTTTGATTATCGCCTTAATTTAGTCCACTAAAATAGCTAAATCCATTTATACCAGCTATACCAGACCAGAATGTCTAATTCCTTTAGACAGTTTTGGTAATTTCTATTTTTAATTGTCTATCCATACACACATATCTCATGGTTTCCTGGTCAATAACAATATAATGAAATTTGGGGGTGGGTATATTTATACTAGCTTTTGCCTCTATGATTTGGGCCTACTTTATTAGTAGATTCAGGAATCATATAGAAGAATTGAAAATATCAGCTCTATGATCTACAAGGCTGCACTTCAGAGTGCAGCTGGTCCTATAGCCACAATCAGGATACACAATATATTCCCCACCTCCAATTCTGGTTAAAATACCTATAAAAAACTAAGATACATGCAGTTTTATTCAGGGTATATCAATAAGACTACAGGGCAATGTCAAATGCACTTCTAAACACATGCACAAGAACATAGATTCAGAATGAAAAGACTAAAAATAATCATATCCACTGTATACAGGTTAATTCAATAGTCTTGAGAGTGGTGTTATTTTTGCCATTTCAGAAAATAACCTCTACATAGATATAACCTGGTTAGCACAAAGCACACGCTAATTGTGTAGAAGAAAACTTCATTTAAAGAGAGAGGAGCTTCCTCTAATTATTCAATCATGATTCTCAGGGTCTGTGTCTCCAAGGTCAAGTTATATGTACAATAAAACAACATGATCATGGAACATAGTTTCCAGGTCTGTCTCTTACTCAAGTTGTCTCTATGCTGCCTCTAAAATTTCTCAGCAGTTGGAAAGAATAACCTTATTTGACTCCTTTATTGAAAATGTATTGTAAAAGTCACCCACTGCCTTTAAAGTAATGAGAGATTTATAAGAAAAATTTAATTTTTGACAAGAGTCATGCATGCAGTTTATTAATAATAGCAAGGAAGCCATCAATAAAAATATACATCAGGAATATATGGCTTTTGGTGAGTTGCTTCAATGTTAGACATGTTTTCATTCTTAAATGAGATA